TAACTAGCTAGTACACTGACACACAACCCTTTGATCTCTGCATGTAATTACAGTCTTCATAATTATATTTCAGCTGAATGTGAGGTGAATGACTAAAAAGGGCCCTGAGGCTTCTTCAAAATCGGGCTTGAATGCTGGCATGGCAAGGGGAAGATAAGTGAGGCAGAGAAGGATTAGGTTTGAGGAGTTCCTAAATTAGAGGCTAAAGAAGTACTTGTGTCAAGATATCTTCCTTGGGTGTGTTGGGACAAGTTCAGGATACAAACATTAGTTTGACTGTCTAGAAATTTGTAATCCAGACGAAAGTGATGTCATCTGTGGAGCATGTATAAATATGTTTTGTCTACTGGGGTTAAAGAAGTGGAAATTACACTGTTTCTCTGACAACTATTTGACAGTTGTATGAAAATGAATGTGCTTGTGTGTGGGCGGAAACAGTGAGAGGCGTGGCAAATAACGTTGATTGAGGTTAAATTATGTGGTTGAAACTTGAGGAATTCAGTTGTAGGTCAGTGCTAAGGCACAAACTGTGTCGATTTTACCTGTGATATATGTTTGCCCTCGTTTTTAAATGATAGTGAAGCACTGACCAGATGCAGGTTCAATTTTTTTCAGTTCAGGGACCACAGAGTTGTGTGTTGCCATTTCCTCTGGTTTAACAGTTGGATGAGCAAGTGCCGAGACAGCAAAAAAAAGTTCACCTCGTACTTCTGAGGTTGAAGAAAAACAACTTGCTTGGGGTATCAGACAACATTATATCATTAAGACAAAAGGTTTCTTAATTACCAGGGACAATATGTGTGGAGAAATTTCAAATTCAAATCATATTAATCACTTGAAATGTGAATCAGAGACAAACTGTAAAAAGCCTTTCAGTAGTGTCTGTGAGGTCTTGCAAATGAGTTCCCTTCTGTGCATGCTATCATTTTTTTTTTTTTTTTGCATGTGCATGACTATAGAAAAGATCACTCCTGTTGTACAGTTTAGACTTGACCTCAGTTAAGTGTCTTACCCTAACCCTTCCTCAGCTTTGTAAAACTGTACTTTCTCAGCAAATATAATAGAATAAAATACCTGTAATAAATTCTGTATAGGTTTTCACACAGTTCTGTATGCACACACATTTACTGTAGCCTACTATACACCACATTACTGTATCTATTAGACTCACAAATCACATGTCACATGTATTGCTTGGCTTATCTATCTGATGCCTGACACACGATTTATTTCCCCTTTTCTATTTATCAAATATAAAACAGATAACTAGTGTTCCCTACTGATTGAGCTCAGTTACCTTAATAACTTAAGTAGAAAATGTAATACTCTATGGTTAAATTAAATTTATCAATTCATAAACACAAATGTTCAATGGGCAATTTTAAGAGTCACAGCAACATCCACACAGAATAAACCTTGAATCTGTAAAATGGTTATGTTGTTTCTCTAAAATCCCTTCATGTAATGTGCATAACTAATATACACGTTGCATTGTTACTAGTGTGGTTCAATTGATCAGGTCTTGTGAAAAGTGAAAGTGTAAGCACATTCGAGCAGGAGCACATTCGTTACATGCGTTAAATATAGAAAGGAGGAGTGGCCGCATGGTTTTCACATCGTCACATTAGTCTTTTTTGCTTGTAATTTGATACCCGATCTCTGCAGAGAAAGAGCGCTAAGACAAAAGATGCAGTGCGTGGGCACATGTTTAGAAACTTTTACAATCCATCGACACAAGAAATCATTCGTCAGCTGAGTCTAATAGATTATTTTGATTTGAACAACAGGCCACTACTTACACCCATTGTTCAAAATGCAGGTGAAAAATCAAACTGGTGGGTAGTGGAAAAAAAGAACTCTGGTATCATAGTGCAGCGCTTTAAAACAACTGACCAATCAACGACGAGATAGCTAGTAGGCGGGACGTATTCTCTTGATTGACGAACTTTTCGTTCAATCGAATGCTCCTACGGTCGACATTGTCCAATCGTGTGCGAGATCGAGCCGCTGCATCAGACGATAGTGGACTTTCAACGAGGTCGAGAGAAAAGCGGAGACGGGCAGACATCATTTCTCTCTCAGCGTCTTTGGACTATACACACGAAGGCAAAGAGCCAACAAATAAAATCATTTACTAAACAGGAATATAATTATCTAAATTAATTCACAAAATTAGCCATGGCCGACACAGCTGTTGACACGACCACAACTGCAGAGGTTACAACCAAGGTGCGTTTCATTAAGTTTTTTTTTCTTTTTGTTGAACCGTCGTGTTAAAAGATTTTTGAGAACTTTTCTAAGTTGTTGTTTTATTTTTGTTAAGGTAACTCAGGTCCTACAACAGTGTTTTATTCGACGGTTGTAGTAAACGGTACCTCTCGTAAGTTAAAACAGTAATTGAGGGGATGTTTTACCTAAATTACTGTTACATTGAAATGTTATTTGACGATAGTCGCACGCCATCAAGGTGATTTACAAGTAATTGTCAGCTAAATATTGTGTCCGGAAAATCAAACGTATGTGATGTGGTTAGCTAAAAATGTGTTGTTGAGCAGACAAAGCGGCAGAAACGGTACAGCTGGTGAAGCGGAGCTGCCGCTGTGGGCGGGAAGCCACAGTAACGTTAACGTTACATTACCCGCGGCTCGGGATGAAAACGTTCAAAATCATTATTATCACTATCATTTCTAACAGTTTTAATTGAATTACTCTCAATCACATGTATCGAAAGCTAGCTTTTTTAAATCAATACCAGATGTGTCAATACTAGAACGTTTGGTACTTCAGAATAAACTCTTTGCTGAACGTCACATTGATTAAGGGACATGCTTTTATTTTGTAGGAGCTGAAAGAGAAGAAAGAAGTAGAAGTGGAGGAGGAGAAGAAGAAGACCGACAACGGGGACGCACCTGCCAATGGCACAGTGAGTTGGAGAGGAGGGCAGGCAGCCTCATGGCCTTTTGTCTTAGCACCCCTCATCATGCAGGTGTCGCTGCACCCGCCTCCCCCTCCTGTTCAGCTGCTCTCCACACTGTGCTTTGTTTGGGTTGTGAAATGGCACAGATGTTATTTAGCAAGTCTTTGGACGTTTCCATTGGTGTCTCTAGTCTGAGGTTTCCCAGAGCTTGGTAGCTAATCCTCTGGGGAGCTAATAAGAGCTCAATACACATGCCTTTTTTAAGTGTCCCCAGAGGAGTCTGTAGATGTAAGACTGAGAGGGTTATTTCAACTATGTTCCATGTTTTGATTTCTTTTTCTCTTTAATACTGAAAATATTATCCATTATCCTACAATATTGCTCACATAATAAAAGCCCTGGCATGGATTGACATTTTCCTCTTCTCATGTAGAATGGTGCTGATCACAGTGACAAAGTGGAAGAAACCGCAGAGGAGGAACACAAGAATGGAGATGGTATGTTCATAGAAAACTGCATTTTTGTTTGCAGTAAGACTCAAGCAACCATGTTTAACAAGTTTCCAATCTGCCACATAGATATTGTTCCCTTGTGTAGACCTTGTACAAGTAAATCTTTTTGTTTTAATTACATTGAAAGTAAAGGATGTATTTTCTGAAGTGGCAAACTGTGCTTACAGGGAAGGCAGAGGAGGCGCCCCCTGCTGAGGAGACTGATGCACAGCCGGTGAAGCGTGCGGCTGAGGAGGATGAGGTGGGTGTACAATGTAATCACTTGTTTTTCATATGTGTTGACTAATCTGGTGAACTCTTAATCCTTTCTTATGCATGAAATACTCCTCTTTTTTTTCCATTAGGAAAAGGCGGAGACAAAAAAGCAGAAGACAGAGGAAAATGGAGACTCAAAAGAGGCAGAAGTGGAGGCTTAGATCTCTGCCCTGCAACTTGTTTGCAGCACTGTCTTACCAGCCTGGTCAACATAATGTTGTAGAGCTTGTGCTTTCTGTTTCTTTTGAGAGAGATTTCTTTTTGTTTGCTCCCATGTTATCACATTGCACTGGAGTCCTGAAACATAGTGGCCCTGCATCCTTTTTTTTATGAAATGTTATTTATTGGTCTTTAAAATGAGCTTTTTTCTACTTGTACAAATTGGGCCACACCATGAGATCAGTTCTTTAATTTTTTGATTTTATATCAGTATGTTAGAAGCACAATCTCTATTATGGCAGTGCTGACCAGATGATTCATACACACAGGCAGCTGCTCACCTCCTCCAAGGCTCATGTTGACCTCTCAGATTCACTTAAAGGACCAAAGATAAGTTTTAAGCAGGGGCTAATGGACAGTTGTTAGCATTATTAGTTGAGGCATAATTTTTTGTGTTGAGCTGCTAGTTAATCCTTGGCTTGGCTGCCCTGTTAACATGACAGATGGTGCAAATGAATAAAGGGGCTCTGTCTTGTGCCTCCATGATAAGACTGCTTGACCTTGTTCTATGGAGGCAGGATTTTGCAATGTAAATTAACCCCTCTTAAATCTTAAAGCTTTGGTCATTTGTTCTGTATGCATTCCACGCAAGTTTGTACCATTTATACTTTGTTTTTCTTACGTTTTCAATGAGTTTTATGTTATGGCTGGGTAGCCCAGTTTTGTGTCCAAGACTGCCTTTTTCAGAACCAGAATGACATTCGGTTACTTCAGCCACTGCTTTGTATATTCTGATTAACAAATAAATTGTCTTTTTACTTAAGTTTATTTATTTTGTGTGCATGTTACCTGTTTGTAGAAAATCATTGCCTTTTAAAACCATGTATTTATAAGTAGATGATGTCACTTGACCCAATTTTTTCTTAACATGGAAAATGGCTGGCTTAGATGCAAGAAGGAACAGGAATAATCTCACTCACTTGGTAATGGAAAAGGGTGCACAGAATCAATGGATAGTGGTTTTGTCTCTTGGCTCCCCCATGTGGTGTAGGTAAGGATTGCAGAACATTATTCTGCAAGTTATCTGGGTGACAACTGGTATGGGTTACAATGATCAGAGATAAAATCCCAACAATAATTGACACAGGAGTCAGAAATGGCAAAATCATCATTTTAGTTTTAACTGAACCCTGAATAAAAGTAGCGTTTACAGTAACACTGCTAATATTGAGCAATAGGTGGTACCATATAACACAAAAGCTCAAATGTGGTGTTTTTTTTTTTTTTCTCAAGCAAGCTGCAACAGCATGAGCCATACAATTAGTTTCCTCAGAAACATTAGCATGGTGTGCATCCAGTCAGTCCAGGAGGCTTTAATAGTAGGCAATTATTGACACTGCTGAGGCAGCAATAATGTTGGGGTGCTCAATGTGTGAGCCAGTCAATGAAACCATCACAATGAAAAGTTTAAAACGGAATACATACCAAAGTTTACCTTATGTTAAAGCCCTGAAGTCAGACTTGGTACCTGTGTTGAGGCTGAACAGACAAAGCATATTGTATGCCATGGCATAACAGATGTAAAAAATAAATGTACCATGAAGATGGCTGCTTTAGGATGGAAAAGGAATAAAGTCTGATAATTCCTGTGGTGAACTTGGCCAACAAATGTAAGATCATCACTACACTGAGTTGATGGGCATAGCGTGGTGGAGCAGAAGCCTACTACCTTAAGCATGCGCCCTAATGATGCCAATAAGTACTTGCTGCTGGCTCTACGGACCCCCACAGTCTTTTGTCTCACTGTTGTCCACCTTCGGGGTGACCCATAGTTCACATGAGTCTTCTCTCTGTTTGCTGTTCTTCTCTTTTGTTCGGTTTCCGACTGAATGCTGATTCACACCCCAGTTTCAACTTCTCCTCTTCCTGATAATGACAAGAATCACTGTCATTATTACAATGGTATGGCCAGGAGTAGCGTGACAGCTCACAGGGCTGCCCATGGCTTAGTGAGGGCCCAGACAGAATTTGCCACCAGTACACATTTCTCTGTGTTTTTGAAAGTTTGTGTATAAGCGTGTTTATGTGTGTCACCCTATTAGTCATAGCTCTGATTAAGTAATTAATTGGCATTGTACTCATACTCTGGGCTTGACCAAGAGTCACCCAGCACTAAACTGTGAAATTTGGGGATAGCACACTGGTTAAGTCATATTATGACTGGACTGTGTGGAAAGTGTTTTTTTTTTTACTTACTGTTAAAATGTGAAGCCCTTCCAGTCTGTAACTGTGATTAAGCACTGTTCAGCTTCACGTGAATATTAAGTATGTGTTTGCTAAATTATGCCAAAAGAACTCTTGAATTAATGAAGAAGCGTTAACAGTGAGTGTGAGTGGTCACTGGCAGCACATTCATTTAGTCAGAAAATCCTGCTCGAAGTGTGATGCTAATATGCTAACTCAGAGAAACAGGCAGGTAGACATTCCCTTGGCCGTATGACCACAACGAAACATTAACACAAGGCTTTAAGAGATTACATTGCAGCTCATGCAGACGTTAGGCAACTGATAAAAGGAAGAAAAAGAGGGGAAAGCTGTGGTTAGCCTGTATGTGGTGATCAACATTTCTATACTAAACACCAACAAGCAAGAAAAGATGATGCAAGTTTTTACAGCAAAGAATCAGACACAAGAACAGCTTATCTATACTTAAAGAGGTCACTCACAGTCTCACTCACTTACACACACACACACACACACACACACACACACACACACACACACACACACACACACACACACACACACACACACACCCATTCGTCCCACAATGCATTCAAAAAGGTCACATTCATTTGCAAAGGTTAGGAAAAAAAATGCATGGGCACACACACTGTATGAACACACTGGTCATGTATACACGTATTAGAGCAGTGGCCAATGTATGTCTGTCTGTCTGTCTAGCTCTGAGAACAGTAGTGCTGATTAGTGTGAAACGATATATGGAGTTGTGCTGTACAGTGTGCGGCAGGATGTACAGTGCATTTGTCCTATCAGTGCTGTGAAGGTTAACACACTCAGACACTAAGCGACAGCGTGAGAGCGTGTGCCGTTGAGTGTGTGTGTGTGTGTGCGTGTGAGGTAAAGTAAATTAAGAGACTTTTCTAAATGTGCACCAACAGTGGCTGAGTCTCGCTTTCGGGGGGCTCACCCTCAGGGGGGGGCAGCTGGTACACCACGCAGAGAGAAGAGTACAGGCAGCCCACGAATGACATCAGGCTTGCAAAGTACATCACTCCCTGGGCCCCACCCACCAGTGAGGTCAGAGGTCCCATCGCCACCGAGACCAGGATCTGAGCCAGGAAATACTGGCAACTGAGCAGAGAGATGTCCACCCCCATCCCTCGTTTGGTCCCTTCCTCCAATGAGCCACAAAACTAAAGAAGATACAGGAAAAGTTCAGTTATATGCTAAATCTCGAAGATGCATCACAAATCACAACAGTACTTCATAATTTTTTGAAACAGGCTTATTTGCTTTCTTGCTGAGAGTTAGATGAGAGGACTGATACCACAACCATTAGCAATAAAGTAGCTCACAAAGAAATTGAAAAACATTTCTTTGTGTTAGTAGACAGATATTAGAGTGTTATCAATCTTCTCATCTAACTCTTGGGAAGATAGCAAATGAGCAAATTTCCCAAGCTGTTTAAGTATTCCTTTAAGTTCTAAGCATACCATGAGGACAGCTATTGCTCTACAAACTAGTTAATGCTAGACCTGCACATATCTGGAGACTGACCTGAGGACTCTGGTAGTATTCACACAGCAGAGAGTAAGGCAGCGTGCATAGAGAGGAGAAGAGCACCCCATAGGTGACACAGAGAGACAGTACCACATAGAGGTTGGTGGATAGTGTGGCAAGGCCTGTGCCCAAACCAAACGCCAAGTAGGCGAAAAAATAGAGAGTGCGAAGAGAGAAACGCTCCTCCAGTTTCTCCAATATGGCTGGAAGTTTAAGAACAGAGAGAGGAACAGAGAGTATAAATGTAAAGCTGTAAGGAAGACAAGTCACTGCACAAATTCAACTAGGATGAGAAATTACTCTTGCTGGGGCAGCGCTATACTGACACCCAAGCCATGATGTGATTATGAGTGTACTTTACCTGAGTAGAAAGCAGCACTGAATGCATAGATGCACATGCCCCAGCAGCCCATACTAACACCAGCATTGTAGCGTTGGTAAGCCTCAGAGTCGTGGGGTGCTTTGGGGTCTCCTTCGAACACAACCTCCCCCATGAAGTCAGTGTAGAAGAGCAGCATGCCTTCAAAGGAAAGCCAGCCTACAGCACAGAGAAAAACAAAGAGTATTATCTCAGTTCCTTTTAAATACAAAACCAGAGCCAGCTGTGAAGGTGTAGCAGGTTTTTTTTTTACTAAGCTGAATTTGAATGGAAATCATTTTTCTCACCTAAAAAATGATTAGTGCATAAACTCCGCAGAGAGGGAGGCATCCTGTAGATGGCTATACACAGCAGCTTCATTGACATTTGGGATTCTCCTGTCTCCATGTTCTCACTCAGATCACTCTCATATCGCACCCCATTCAGCAAAATGTTTGCAACCTTCATCAGACAAAAACAGACAGGCACTGTTTTAAAAAATGCTAACCGACTGACTAAACAGCTTTTGCCATTTTCAAAAAATGTGTCTGACCTGCTGGCTGAAGGTCACTGTTCTCCTGCGTCCATTCTCCAGCCCAACAATCTGTGTTGCCATGGGCTCCTCTATCAACGCAAGACTCTGGGGTCGCTTGAGGATACCAGCAGTGGAGCCCCGATGTGACCCTGCAGCAGGCTGAGCTCCAGTTCCAGCTGTGACCTGAGATGCCTCATGAGATTGTGCATCTCCTTCGGGCTGGGGTGCTTCTACATCCTGAGCTTCTCCAACCGGACAAGACACCACATCAGCCTGGGTCTGTCCTGCAGGATTGCTCCCTGCCCCCTGTATGGACTCCTCCGGAGGAGGGGAGCCCCCTGGAGGCAGGGGTGCAGTGGTGGCATTGGGGGGCAGGGCCTGTGGCATCTGCTGACCTGTATAGCAGTCTATGAGCACACTGTCTATATAGGAGGTTCCTAACGAGGAGGCAAACTCATTGATGCCTGTGAGCGAGCTGTCCCTACTTATAAAGCTGCCATATTTTGGAGTGAGGGGGCTCAGGGGGGATATGGGGCTAGCAAGACTGAGGCCGCTGCAAGAATGGGCCAGAGGGCCAGCAGGGTGAGATTTCGAGTAATTGTAGCTGTAAAGACCATCCTCGTCTTCTTCATCCCGTCCCAGAGCTGATCCAGGGTGAACAGGGGGAGAGGGAGGAAGAGGAAGGCTGGGACTCTTCAGATGGTTTTTGCTGGAGTTTTTGTTTGGCTGGCTCTTTGGTAAAGGCCGTTCAGGGATACTCATCAGAGTCATGGCTGTGGCGATCACCAAAGTGATACTAGTAAACAGGTATATGACCCGCAGTTGACCTCCCATTGATCTTCCAAAGTGTGTCTGGTCCCAGTTGATACCACCCACTATGTAGCCAAATCCACCTCCCAGTCCTGTATAAAAAAAAATAAGAATAAAAATAACAGGGTGATGAAAAGATATCATTTCACTTTTCCCAATAGCTGCTGATTACTTAAAGCTCATTTTCAGCTGTTTTCACCACAGTATCTTAACAGAATATTAGTTATAGTTACCATCTTCTACCTCACTACTGTGTAAATTATACAGTATAATAATGAAGTAAACCTGAATTTGTAACCATGTAAAGTATTTCCTTACCTGCCAGCAGTGCATGGATGTTCAACCCCCGATCCTGGTCTTCTGGGCTGCACACATCCATCATGTAGGCATGGCTCGGGTTGTCGGCTGAATCAGCACTGAAGTCCATCAGAACCACACCACACACTGTCAGGATAATTCCCCACTTGTGATTTGAAGCTGTGTCAGCCAGAACAACTCCAATGTCCCGCCCGTTCAGCACCAGTGTTAAACCAACCAAAGCACCTATGAAGAAGCAAAGCAGAGGAAAGTTTTTTAATGTCCGAACAACAGCTCCACAGACATCTTTCTCATGGGGGAAAAAAAGCTTCCGTCTTGGGCTAGGATGCTACAAAACAGGGTGAAACATTGGGGCCATGGAGAGTGCAATATGAGGACATTTACCAGGCTGAAAAGGTGTGATGAAAGCTGTTATTAAGTTACAGCATGGGAAGCAAACAGCAATGGTTTTGTGTGTGTGTGTGTGTGTGTGTGTGTGTGTGTGTGTGTTTTTTGTTTTGCTTCATATTAAGGACTAAAACTCACAATAACTTGGCCTCTGCAGCTATGATTTTAATCACTCTTTTAAAATTTCTTACCTATAGCCAAGGCAAAAATGAAAGGTCTCCTTCGCCCAAACCGGGATGTACATCGATCACTCCACGCTCCTATGAGAGGCTGAACGAGGAATCCTTCAAGCCAAAAACAGAGGAGCGAGTTAGAGGCTGCTGATCGAGTGCAACAATATTATTGCTTTCCACAAGTACAATGTTTCACACGTCAACTTCCATCAGTTGTTTGCTTACCCAGTATGGGGCTAATAGACCACACCAAGCTGTAGAACTGATCAGGCAGGCCCATCTGAAGAAGCACAGGAGTCACGTAAGCTGTTTCCATGGCATAGCTAAATTCAATAGCAAACAAGATGCAGCCATTGAAGAGTAGCTCTTGGAAGGTTCGTCTCGGGGGAAGTTCACTGAGGTCCAGGTGGTCCAGGGGACAGGGTGTGTTAGGTGGTGGAGGTGGAGAAGGTCTTATCAGCTTCCGACGCTTTGGCTGTCTTTGGAAGTTGTTGGCTCGGTGACTGAGGTGCCGAGTGGTGGATATGGGAAAGCTGGCAGTTTTGGGAAGTGAGCCCCTCCAGATACCTTCCTGAGCTGTGGATAACCTCCCTCCTGGACTGGCCAAAAGGGGGTCACTGGGGGTGCCCATGCCTGGAGATGACATCTCTCTCAAGCCAGTTTACACTGCAGTATTAAAAAAAAAAAAAAAAAAAAGGGGGATGAAGGTTTTCAAGTTAAAACTCAGACATGATTACAACTTGTTCTGGCTTAATTGTTCAAATTAGAGGTCATTCAAGAGCACCACAATTTGGCATGGTGAGCATGTGAGTAACTTAGTGCTGCTGATGGTTGTGTAGTGCTACCAAGAGGACACTGCAGTCATCAGCAGACAGCAGCGATGGCACAGCAATGATGGGCACGACGCACTGCAACCAATGCGCATGTAAGTGTTGTGCGCAGAGCCCATGTGCTCGGCGTGGCTGACTACAGCAGTGTAGTATGCGGCAGCGCTCTCATGAAGCCTGTTTCCATTTTAATTTTTCATGGAGGAAGCTCAGATCGGACACAATGGAGCCGCTGGGGGTTATAATGACGGCTTTCAAGACAATCACAAGGATAACGTGTCACTATCGCTCAAATGCAAATGAAATATTTGACCAATAGCCTATAGAACGTATTTGTAGCCACGTAACCGATCGACTATTTATCTAAAGACTCTCGATATTTTCCTGGACTTGACATTTGTGTCTAAAGGTGACGACCACACAATCGACTCAGCTGTATTAGAAGATGAAGAAGGCGTGCAATCATAATTACCTTACCGGGGCGACTCGTCATTTATTGCGGCATACAGTGTAGGTAAACAGAGCAACCGTTATGATTTATAAAAAACGTAGGCTGAATTACAAGAGTCATGATTGTTTTGTTATTCTTTTTGTTTTTCCTTTGATGCAGTCATCCCCTGCTCTCTCCTCCGTCCCTTCTCTTTCCCCCCCTCTTCTCCTCTCCCCCCTTCGCCTTTTCCTCCGGTCTCTCCGGTGACGTCACGCCCCTCCCTGCAACATCAGCACCAGCGGAAGAGTCCCAGCTACACTCATCTGACAGATCCAGTTACTTGCTGCTTTCCAGATGAGGATTTTACGTTCAAGATTGTCACATTTAAGATGTCTATGAGTCAAAGACATTTTTCCCTTATTTGGTCAGAGTTTCGTATTCTGAAATTTGTTTTTTTTTTTTTCCTCTTTTCACTCCCATTAATAATTAAATGATTTAGAGATTTATGTTGTGGTCAGCTTGGGAAGGCAAGGCCCCTGTGTTGGGACCCTGACCAGTATATTACTTAAGCAGAATTTTCAGGAGTATTTGTTTTACATACATATTTTACTCAAGTAAAGGATCTGAATATTTCCTGAGCAGACTACTAGTTCCACCACTGCCCAATAGATGTGAAAAAAGAGAGGAAATCTCACAGCTCGCATTTAAGCTTTCATACTAAACATCTTCATGGCTCACAACTCCAGTTTCAGTACGTTTCAGCATGTGCTTTCCAATCTGAGCAAGGTTGACGTTTGCCATTATCTAGAACTACTCTACAGAGTAGAGACCAGCTGAACAAAGTTAAAGGCAATGCACAATATGTACAGTATATAATCTTGTAGTAATGAGTACTCCATTACATTTATTTTTAAGTTTTAATTATTAGTTACTTTAGCCTACAGATTCACCTTGTTAATACAAAATATAACTTGTACCAGCTGCAATATTAAAGTGATACTTTACCCATATAATCCAAAAATACCTTTTTGTATTATAGGTGATTTTTCATAAGTACTTTTACATTTGGTTAAATGAACCCTGAGGAGATGAGAGATGTAGCAGCAGCAGCAATACATTGGTAATTCATCTGAAGAAAATAATGCATGCAAAGGAATAGAAAGTGTTTTGGTGAATCTGGCAACTTAACAGGTAACTTAACATGTTATTCCACAAAATACAAGCTTGTTTAATTTGTGCAGTTTTTTTGTGTTTCGTGTTAAATCGATGCACCATGGTGATGCCTCTTCTTTTTCTACTTGTGTTGTTGGTGCAGATCTTCTGCTCTGTGACAGTGTGTCAGTGTGCAGAGGGACGGTCAGACAGGCCTTATTCACAGCAAACATGTTGACTTGTCATAACAGAGAAATCACAGGTGCAACTAATTTCTTTAACGATGGGTGTGCACAATAGAATGGCCTTCAGACGAGCTCACCTAAATGGAAAGCAGTTGTTTTTAATGTTATTAATTACACCTGTGCTTTTCCCTCTATAACAAACCAAAATGTTTGCTGTGAAAACGGTTTGTTGCCTGCAGTAAATCAACACGTGTGCGTGGTCATGGACAGACTGTGTTTGTCAGCAGCAACAGAGGAATTTTTAATCACTGCTTTGTTTGTTTTTCTATATTCTTTGAGAGGTTTGTATTGGTTTGGCCCACCTGATGGTAACCTGAGCAGATGGTAGGTGAGATGATCAGTAGAGTAAGTGCTTCATTGCTATCAGGGAGTGGGTCTGAGCTGTTTCACTCTCTTTGCTTCAAGTTTAATTAGTTTTTGTTGACATTTCTGGGTCTGTGCCAAGATACCACTTTTACATTTACTAATGCCTACAGTGCTACCATCTCCTTAAGTTCTCCAGTGCCAAGCGACATCATAGAAAGATGGCTAGATAGTGATAAAATATATTTAACAATACACTGATATATCTATAGAGGAGCTCAACACAGGTATGTCATAATCAAGAGATTTTAGCAGATGTGGACATATTTCATGTCTGTATATGAATATGAAGTTGACGGTAGTTTTCCAATAGGCTTATTACATTAAAAGTCATAGATACCTTATTTTATTTGATAAACTATACTAAGATGGACTGGTCCCTATAGAAAAACTGATGTGATTTTAATGGCCACCTCTGATAGCAGGCTCATCGTGTCTAATTGACTTGTAGTAAGGTAATCTGTCCTGCGGGTTGTTCCGGCTGGATACAGTGGAGGTCTCTAAAGCACTATGTAATGAATTAATTGTCACTGAACCAAGAGGATGATGTTTTTCTTTTTTTATTTAATGAAATTTTTGGGTAATTTAGCCCTGGATATATGGAAACATGTTTTTGTAGGCTACAATCTTGATCTTCAGAGTAACCATCTATAGCTCTCAGATAGTGTAATACATACATACCCAAACTCCCACTATAATGAAGTGGAGCAGTGTAAAGCGGCAGAAAACGACAATATTCAAGTAAAAATAAATTGTGCTTAAAATTACACTTGAGTAAACTCAGGGTGATATTCTAGTAGACACAGGGCTCTCTCAAGGGGTTAACAGAAGACACACAGCTGGGACATTTCAAACACCAGCAGAAGAGGACAAAGGCCATACCATAAATCCCGTTAACGTTGAGCTCACCTGTACTTATAGACTGTACCACACCTTATGCAACCTGCATTACGAAAACCTGAGTATTTTCAAATATGGACTACGCCACTCAAAGTCACCACCTTGAGTTAATGTTAAAACTGGCGAGCAATTGTTTCAGCAATTAAAAACGTTCCACTTAAAGAAATTGCTACTCTTTAAAGACGAATAAATTAAACTGAAACAGGTTTGATGAGATCCACGTGTTTTAAGTTGCCCTCGCTAAGCCCCGCCTCCGTTCTGCACACCGTGCGCTGTAATTGGATGATTTCCCAGCACAGGCAGGACCTGATTGGACGGCAGCGTTCAGTGGGTGTTTGAGGAAGCACTTGTTTTGCAACTGTTGTGCGCTTGTTATTCAAGCATATTTTCTGTACGACTAGCCTATAAACTGTGGTTACAAGATTTTTTAACTTTATCGAGCCAGTTTCCACTCGGTGTAAGCGAAGACAGAAAATGGCCAACGTCGACCTCACTCAGGTTGGAAAGAACTTCGTGAAGAGCGCTGAAACTGGAGAGGTAAGCCATGAAGATGTTTAACATGAAAATGTATGTGGCTAAAATGTGCAGCTGTAAGCTTTCCTCCTAGCAGGTTCTGTTGGTCTGTGTTTAAAGGTGCTCTGTTTTTAATGTAGTCTAAAGCCGAGCTGGCAGGTTGACTTGTTCCCATGAGAGTGCCGTGTTCCCTGCTGTGACCCACTCTATTTACCTGCCATTAGGCTTCTCAGTAATGTTATAATTGTCATGAAATGACGCCTCCACTGTGACCTAATGTTGATCTGTTGGGAATCATCATCACTGTTTGAATCTATGATGTATGATTTCATTGATAACAAGTAAAATTAGTACATGCTGCCTACACCATTTCACTTGTGTTTGCTTTGTGTCACCTGTTTTGTGGTTTGTTTTTAGCTTCAATAATTAATCAGTTAACAGATAAAATTATTGACAGCTATTTTGATAAGAGTAGAAAATATCAAAACTCTCCTCAAATGTGAATATTTTCTGGTTTCCAGTCTTTTATGACAGTAAACACATTATCTTTGGCTTCTGAACTGTTTATCAGGCAAAACAATGCATTTGAAGAAGTCACCTTGGGCTCTGGAAAATAGGAAATGACATTTCACATTTTATTAACCAAATGATTAATTGATTTAATCAAGAAAATCAAAGTGATAACTAGTTGTGTCTTTTTTTTTTTTTTTTTTTTTTTTTTTTTTTTGTTTCAGAGTGTGGAGCTCAGGTCTCTGTGGCAGGACCAGCCTGTGGTCTTGTTCTTCCTGCGCAGGTTTGGCTGTCAGGTGTGCAGGTGGATGGCATCAGAGATCAGCAAACTGGAGCCAGACCTTACAGCCAGTGGTGTAGCGCTGGTGGGCATTGGACCAGAGGAGGTTGGACTTAAGGAGTTCAAGGAAAGAGGGTTTTTTAAAGGATGTAAGCAGTATAGTACACATATCTTATATAAATAATAATTTTTGTCTTGTGGCTTTTATAATTATGGCAAACACATCCTGACACACAGGGCTTCATTGGAAAATTTGGCCCACTGAAACTATTTTCACACCACAGGCCTAGTTGGTTTGTTTTGTTAACACTAAATTACATTGATCCCATGTGGTTTTGAAAAAATACAGGCATCTCTCAAATAGCAGAGGGTCCTTTTTGAAGTATCACCCAAAGAAAACAAATACAGTGAATTAAGTATGCATCAGAGTTTGAACCATTTATGAATGTAGTTCTATCCAGGAAAAGAATCTGTTTTTTTTTTTCTTTTTTCTGGAAACTTTTAAATAAGCAAATCAGTGTTACACTGGAAGTGAAACAAAAATGAATTGGCACAATGTTTTTTTTTTTTTTTTACTTTGTTTTTTTCTCGATAGCTTTCACTCTGTAACAACCCTTATTTGCACAACCAAACTTAAGTAACAGTAAGATAGGGTGCACCAACAGGATTCAGACATGGTTATTGAGCCCATCACTTTGTGCATAATTGTAAATAATCACTGATCATCTTCTCTTTTAGCCATTTATGTGGATGAACAAAAGAAAAGCTACAAGGATTTGGGCTTCAAAAGGTGAGTATAGTAAATCCATGTTCATCACATGCAATAGAGAAGCTGTTTGATCTATATGAATCTCAGGTTGCTTTGACAATGATGTGAATTGTTTTTATTTGTCAAAGATGATTAGCTTTAACTTTAATTATATTCCTCTGAGCTGCAACAGTTAGTCAATTAATCGATCAGTTGATCAACAGAAAATAAATCAGCAAAAATTTTGATAATTGATTATTTGAGTAACTTGTAAAGTCTAGATTCATATCTTTAGGTTTTGGGCGGTTTTATATTTTATAGACCAAGAAAGTAACCGGCAGATTCATTGATGATAAAAATGAAATGTCAATTGTAGCGCTAATACATTTAATTCTGAAGTGACTGATTAAGTCTGACCACTGATTAGCTGCTTTGTGTTGATCTCCAATCTCCCTCTCAGGTACACAGCCTTAAGTGTGGTTCCTGCTGCTTTGGGGAAGAAAGTACGAGATATAACGTCAAAGGTAGATATCCTCATACTGCATGTCCTGTGGTCAGAGGAGCAAAGGTGAAGTTGCTGATCCACAGACTGATAGCTGAACTGGCTGTTTTTGACTACATGTTTTCTATGCTGTTTTCAGGCCAGTGCTGAAGGAATCCAGGGAAACTTCTCAGGAGATCTAATGCAGAGCGGAGGCATGCTGATTGTAGCAAGAGGTACATTTAATACACACCAGAGGGGGATATTAATAAGGGTCTGTCAAAAGCAAGGATGGTTCAAAAGACTTGTGAACTCGGTTTCAACTTGTAAATAACTTTGTAGCATGGCATTTTTAAGTGTGAAGTTCGCCCAGTCATTTGAATGAAGGAAAAGAATTAAACTGCAATTCAACATGGCTATTTTTCCAGTCTCCCCTCTAGAGGGCAATGCTGCATCACATCAGTGTCGAGTGGTTGGAGGCTCAGAAAGACTTCTCCAAACCACTTGCCCTTAATGTTGATACTCCACAGGGCTGCTGCCTCTCATTGTTACTTTAGAAGAAATGAAGATCATTTAAACCAATTAAACTATTAAAATTTGCAAATGACACTACTGGATGTAATGTTAAAAAAAAAAAATGTATAAAGAGACATCAAGGATTTTAGGCAGAGGGTGATAAACATAACCACAACAATAAAATGATGTTGAAGGAGTTAAACAGATGATGGTGTTTCTTTCCAAGTGTGGTAGCAAATTACATACATTGTTTGAATACAGCACGAGAGAAAAAGCCACAGTCCAGTTGTACAGGGCAATCACCAAAAGTCTGCTAAATCTGTGTGTGCTGGTACTCACTTTTATGGTGTGGTATGGCAGCATGACCTACTGGAAAGGAATCAGTGGGAGGAAGTAGATTACAAGTCATCCTGTCTGAGTGCTCAATTTTTAAAAATCTTGGTTCCAGTAAAAGTCCTTACTGGGGGAGTTCTCACCCAACATTATTCCTTACAGAGCACCACCCAACTGAAGGAGATTTAGGCTTGAATTTAAATGGTTTAGGAAGCAATTTAGTTCCTTAATGGTCAGTCATTAAATATAAGCTTTGACGTAAAAACAAACTGCATTGGAAATATATATATATATATTATTATTATTATTATTATTATTATTATTATTATTATTATTATTATTATTATTATTATTATTATTTTATTATTTATTTTTTATCACCAGTATTGAATTAACTTTGTGCTGTATATTATTACAACTGTTGTGTCAGACCAAGTCATGAGTCGACATGCTGCTTACTTGTTGATACTTTCTTAATATGCTTTACTCTGCAAAGGTGGAGAAAAGGTTTTACTGCACTTCATCCAGGACTCACCTGGAGACAACGTTCCTCTGGAGGATATTTCCAAGTCTTTGGGTATCGCAGCCAAAGTAACGTCAGGACAGAGGCCAGTGGTAAGACATCCCATGATAATGTCTTATGATGATGCACATTATTCCCATGTTCCACTTCATATTCCCCTCTTCAACCTAAGCAGTACAGTGCAGGGTTAAATGGAATAGAAGCAAATGGTATTATTATGTTTACTGAAGAACACTGGACTGATCCATTGGTCAGGTTTTTTCAGCAGACTCTGTTTTACGTCAGAAGGGACACATGCATCAGAGGAGCCTCTTCACAGACAATTTCACACTTATTACTCCATCTTCATGGTCTGTCAGTGATGATCTCAGTCTGTGCCTAATTGCACTTAAAATGCTATTCAAGCACAAACAGAAGTTATACAACTTCCATATAAGTGGTATAGCATGGAAAACCAGTGCTGGCAGCCTTACCCAAGATTTATGAGGTATTTATTCTACTCACAAGTACCATCACAAATCAACTGCAGTGCTCTACAGAATTAAATGTAGGTTTAACATAGTAGTGATTACTGTTATTATATTAACAATGGAAAGTTTTAACACATAGCACAGAAGAGCCAGACATTTAAATCATGACTTAACTTTCTGAGATAGAAGGTGCTTGCCACAGATTATAAGCATGAGCTTTGTGCCTTTTTACCATGTTTTCATCATTACGGCAGAAGCTATGCTGAACTCTGCATCTTAATGTGCACAGCCTGATTTATAAAAGAAAGATGAGTTAATGTTGTTCAAAATTGATTATCACTCAGAAACAAAGTAATAAACAGCCTCTAATATCCTCATTATCGAATATATCACGCAAGAAAAAAGGGCAAAGAAAGACACGAGACACAAACATTTACAGAAGTCGTAGATGTAAAGCAACACATACAACAGTTTTATTTTTTGAGTCAACAACTCAAATGAATAAAGAATTTTTTTTTTTTTTTTTTTTTTTAGAAAACTGAAGAAAAGGTCTTAATTTATTCAGGGAGAAATGTTTTTATTTCTTTTTATTATTACTTTGGTGTATAATAGGAGACATTGTATAGACTGAGTGAGTAAAAAGATGTAGCCCTAATTATTTTACATTACAACAATTTTGGAATATAAATTAAAACTCCAATGAAAAACAAAGTGGGTGCTAAGATTCAGGGGGTTGCAGACATTTACATGGCTCTGTATTTGTAGTGTACTATTTATGACTACAACATAAAAATACTCTCGTTTTCATCTTTTCAGAAGAGAGATTGAGCTACATAAGTGATTCTTGGTCTTTGGTGTCAATATATAATAGATTATAAAATAGAAACTACAGTTTAAAATATAGCCCCTCATCTATACATGATACATAAATGGCACATTTAGAACCAAACTGCTCAGACGTCATGAACCTTATCTCAGGTCCAGAAAGCTGGGCGGTTTGTCCTGTGATCATCAGGGCTTTCGGCATGCCTGTGACATATAGCACGTGGTCTTCAACACCCTTGCCTCCTGGCTCTGTAGCTCATTTCCTGTAACACCCGCTATATCAGAGCTTTTGCAACATGTACAGTAGATTTCCCCATAACCTGTCTGTAGATCAACGGATGTCATCACTGCAGAACCACAAACAGAATCAACCTTGTTTTTACCGAGTATCAAAACATAGCAGAAACGAGTGCAAGTCACAAGCTAGCTGACAACAGTGTGGAAAAGGCTCTGAAAAAGTTAAAGCTTTATACAGAGCAAGATCTGGGTAAAATCATGATGTTTGAGTGATTACCAGTTTTGCATTCAGAAGTAAAGGTGTCCTCTTGTTTAAACATGAGACAGTATTTACTTCCTCAGAAACTGTCTCCTGTGTTTGGAGGTCAAAACCCTCAAATTGATATTATTTAACTGAGGAATAACCTGGGTCTCCATTTCCAGTGCTTTTTTTTGTTTTTTTTTTCTGTTTTTTTTTTTTTTTTTTTTTTTTTTTTTTTTAAAAAGGTCCTGTTTGGACAGACTAAACTCTATACAGATGGACTTTTATCATATAAATTGAAAGGCTTACCTAACACCTTATCTGTAAGTAAGACAAGTGGTTTCAAAAAATTGGGCTTTGTGGTAATAATTATTTTCCTGATTACTAGTTTGGTTTAAATGTAAGAAAATGGTGAGAACTGTCACAATTTCCCAGAGCCCAAAGGGATGTCATCAAATTGATTGTTTTGTCTGAACAATTCACAAAATAGTTAACTTTTTTTTTGTGCTTTATCAACTATTAATTTCATCTTTACAGTAACTATCAGGTTAACAGATGATCAGCCAGTGTGCCGGAGCTGTGATCTTATTTGATTTAAACACTATATGGATACACACGTGATTATTTACTGCAACTGTGTGAATGAACATTATTGCTATATCTGTTCAGATATATGTTAACATAAAGTGAAATAGCCCTTTACGTCTGTCTAAATAATGTGTTGACATGTAACGGTGAATTTTGTTTAAAAGCTATTTGACCTCTTTTTGAAAGCTCCAGTTGTGTAGCTGCAGGATTTGTTGAATTAGAATAGAAGCATGTAAGTCGGTGCTTAGCTGTTCAGCTTTAAATATTTTCATGGTTATGTTCCAGCAGGTCCCAGCACAAAAAAAAAAAAATCACTCATGGTCATTAATAGGCCACTGGCTGTAATCCAAAATGGATTTTGGCAGCAGAAGCTGAAGACTGGTTTACCTTTGGCCTTTTTATCAGAGGCTGAATAAGTATACAAAGACAGGAAGACTGGGAAGTGGAAATGTTGTCTTTAAATCAAAGACTGACACTGTTCAGAGGCTCACTTGGCTTTAACGCTCACTTGTTGTTGACACTGGCTTTACTTCCTCGTGGTCTGGGGTTGCACAGAGACAACTGGAGTTTGTGTGTAAAAGTAAATGTAAAAAAAAATAATTGCAAAATCAACCTTTTCTTTCTTTTTTCTTTTTCTCCTGACCTTAGCCAAATCTAACATGCAGAAAAGTATGAACTTAAATATTTGAAAGTGACAAAGTACAGAAATGACTACAGAGCATTATGACACCAAATAATAAAATATGATATATTGGCAATGCATGACCAAATATGTGCTCATTTCCTCCCTGTTATACCCTTATGAACAAATAAAATGATAAAATTCAAATAACATAATTAGAAATGCACTAATATGAGACAATATTTCACAGGGGACCCCAATGGGGGGGAATGGCAACCCATGACACACCTCCAACTCACAAAATACATTTTTAAGTTAAAGTAAAAAAGAACAGAAAATCAGACTGCTTTAACTATTAGTAGTTATTTGAGCAAATGTGAAATGGAAATGTCTTGCAAGAAAGAAAAATATCAAGCTATAAAATGAAATAATATTCTCCAGCGCTTCTTTTGTAGTGTCATCACTAAGCAGTTAAAAGAAATATATCGGCCTTTATCAGCCCACTGCAGATACATTATGACCATTTTGTGCTTCTGGGTAGTAGTAATTGGGAATGTGTCTAATTTAGCTATCAATAGAAGCTAATCTATAATTAAGGTGTTGGCATCAACGTTATATCACTTCTTTTTTTTTTTTAAATCAATTCCAGCAAACTAGAATTGGGAGATTAGCTTGACTGCCAGTAATTGGACTTACACGTAAAGTTTGAATAACCCTCTGTACCTTCTCCTGCAGTGCAATGACGATGTTTGTACACGATGACCACACCTCATACCTGAACAACACAACAACACTTTGGGAGACTGAAATGGAGATTTAACGAGGGGAACGTCATTAAATTGTTGAAGTGAACATAAAACTATTGCCAATATTCCTAATTGCTTGTAATTTCTTTGTGACAGTCATATATTATATTATCTAAAGTGAAAGTTGCGGTGACATTCCACTATGATTGTAACCTTTTTAATTGTAATGAATTTCATTAATTTTAAACTTAACTTACCTCACACTAACATACTGATCACTGATTATTATTAATTGTTTTTATATACTGGAAATTTATGAAGTTGCATTTATTACACTTAGTTTACAGAATAAAATGATTTCTTTATGTATCTAATTGTAATAAGTGTAAAACTGATGTGATGTTTGCTTTAAATATGAATTATTAGTTAACTTAAAATAAATAAAGCAAGCTTAGTTCTACTAGTTCATCATTGCAGGTTGAGTTAATATCATTTTGCAATTTCATGCCCTTATGCAAATAAATCTAAGCTCTTATGTGTAATTGTTTCCATATGTGACATGAGAGTTTAAATAAATGTAAGGAGGGATCTAACTTTTTGATATGACAAATGATTATCCTGCCTATATGCAAAATTAATTCTTCCAACAGCTCATCTCCCACTGTCATCTCTCCTATTTCTTTACCTGAGGGTTAAAACTGAAAATCGTTCGAGCATGAAAATTTACTCTTGACCTTTTAAAAATTGTTTTTTTGACAAAATAGTCCAAACTGAATGTCTACTTCCCAGCTTTTCCTGCTGCTTTCAACCATATCAAATGGATGGAGTTTACTCATTTATCATGATCTGTTGACATTGGAGCTCAGTGGCTGTTTGGATTTAATCAATACAATCAATACTCCTCTTCCTTGTCACCCACTCTGACGGGTGATGAAGAAACTTTGGAGGCTGCAAATGCTGAAGTAGCAAAAGTGTATGAACAATTTGATCATCATACACTGGTGAATGATAGTCACGTGCAGTAAAGCAACTGCTTCTGGTATTAGATGCAGGAGGAGTAGATCAATGATACTTGGCTCTGGCTCTTTAGACGACTATTAAACCTCCATACATTTAGGTGTCGTCCAAAACTGGTGCATAAATGTAACGAATCACAACTGAAAGTTAGTCCAGTGATGATATTTTACGATACTGATTGCTAAGTATGAAAGAACTTTAGTGTGCCAAAACCACTGAGAGGCCATAAGATACAATACACTGAATATTAGAGAAACTCCAGGGAGCTTGATGTAATTGATGTAAAACATCATGAAACAAACTTCTCCAGCCCCCAGCTAAGAGTCTACTTTAATGGCATGGCCACTGTATTTTGTTCATATTTGCAGACAGGGTATGTACAATACTTAAGAGAATAATAAGGCATTAAAAATGAAATGACTGTTTAAAAGTATAGAATCAAGTTTATTGTTTGACTGTTTCAACGACAGCTTTCTCAGTCCAAAACAGCATCTAATTTGTCAGCATGTTCACTATGATGTTACGCCAGTCATTATATGTGATACTTGATCCACTGACTTTCAGAAATAACAGAAAACCCTCTAATGTGATCTGCAACACTTACACGGTAAACTATTACTTCACTACTAACTTTAATATGTTGTGTATTATAAACTCACCGATAAGCACCGTCTCGTCTGGGATTTCCTTTCTGAAACGTTTCCACTCTGTGTCTCTGATAAAGAGACGATACAAGAGAGAAAATTTGCAGTAAAATCATCGATACGCCAACGCAGACAGATGCATTCTGACACACGCTACCTTCATTTTAACACTGAGACTGCAAAGCTGCTGGGTGTTGTAATTCTTACAGCTGTGGCGTGCGGCCAGTTCATAGGTTTGTGTTACTTTACTTGCCAGCAAAATCACTTGAAAAGAAAATATTATGATGAGAATAAAAAAAAAACCCTTTCTCAGATAGCAGCTAATGCTAGCCTTATAATATCTGATTAATGCCAGTGGCACTGCATTACTTATTACTAATCCCATAAATTTGTAGCCAACATTACTCACGTTTTCATTTTATCATACAATCACATTAAGAAACACTGAGTTAGCAGCTAATGTTACTGGCACTGTGTAATGTAGCTTAATGCTACTCTTTGTCCAAGAGTTAGTGGCTAAACCGAGCCTTGTAATGTTGAGAAGTTACATGAGCTAAAGCTATCTTTGATGATTTTAATTTTAATTTAATTGTAAGGTCCAAAAGTTACCAGCTCATGTTAACCTAATGTCCAAATGCTAGCTAATGCTACCCTTGAAATTCCCAAAAGTAGCAGCTAATGCTGGCCTTGTAATGCCTAAACCTTAGAACTTTAGCAGCTAATGCTATCTTTATAATGTCCAAACTTGAGATCTTTAGCAACTACATCTAGCCTGATAATGTCTGATTAATGTCAGTGGCTCTGCATTACTTAGCTACATGCTAGCCTTGTAGGCCGTAAATTAATAGCCACTATTACTGGCACTGGTAAAGCAGCTTAATGCTACTTTTTGTCCAAGTTAGTAGCTAAAGCTAGCCTTGTAATATTCAGAGGCTATAGGAGCTAAAGCCATCTTTGTAATTGTAAGGCCCAAAATTTAGCAGCTGATGTCACTTGGACTTACATGTGTCTGTGAGTGTGTATACAGCAACTGAGAACACAAAACTTATGCTTTAGCTTAGCACTTACTGTTAATCACTGGAAACACTTAGTATCACAGGTTTGTTTGTGGTTAGCATTGTGTTTTGTTACAGTTAACATCACTGGTTAAATTCATACAGATACAATACTATTTTTGCTTTAATCTGAGCATCTTGATCCTACACACTCACCACAGGCTCAAACAGTTCTAAAGGGAGAAGGAACACTTCCTTATTTTTGTGCTCTTCCTGATGTCATCAGTGATGTCACGGGTTATACCATGACTTTGGGGGTGGTCATAAGTGTATAATACTGTGTTAACAAGTATTTGTCGGATTTGGAGAATTATGCAGTTTGCTTAGAAAATAACAGTTTTCTTTTGTTTGTACTGTTAATGTTTGCTGATAAAAAATAACTTTTTGTCAATTAATCTTTTAAATGAGATAGACTTGGATACCCTGACTGAAGTTTGGTTCTGCCCAGGCTAATTGTTTAGCAGAAACAGGGACTATATAAGCAGTTGTTCTTTCTCAGGCAAGGGAGAAGGATGTTTGTGCAGGTTTGAGTGCTATGGTGGTCATGTAATGCCTAATGCCTAATGCAGCTGCTGATGTTAGCATTACATTAACTTTTGTTAGAAACTACAGTTATTAAATTATTAAAGTCTTAGATCTTTAAAGGTAAAACCAAGCAGATAATGTAACTTTGATTTTTCTTTTCATTTCATTCTGCTCAAGTAATTGTTTCATTTTCTTTCAAGATGGCCATATCTGAATGTTATCGTGGCCAAAGTTAACAGCCAGTGTTACTGGTGCTTTTTCCCTCAACATTGGATATGTGTACACAAGATGCAGCAGTTAAAATTATTGAATAACCTAGTTTACACTTTAGCAGCCAATGTTTATGGCATATTTTTGAAATAGTTTCACAAGGTTTAATTTAACAGGAAATTATTTTTTAATGGCCAAACTTGGCAACTAATAGGTTTCATTTTATTGGTAAATTCATGTTTAATGGCCAAACTTAGCAGCTAATGTTACTGAATATGTTTCATTTTATTAGGAAATTCATGCGCCATGGTCAAACTTAGCAGCTAACATTGCTGAAAAGGTTTTTAAAATATAGGTCTGATGTGGCAAAAGTTAACTATCAGCCTACTGTTATTGACAATATTTGGTTTTAACTTGAAAATGTACTTAATGGGCAGAGATAATATTACTGATGGTTAAACATCATATTTTGATGAGATTTTTTGAATTATCATAATGTATAATGTCATGCCAACTGACATTTTTTTCATGGTGTATTCACAAAAGCGAAAAAAAGAACAAAAAAAAAGGAAGATAAGGAGACATAATGTAACCCAGTTAAAAGTTTTGCCTCTGCACTGGATGCAAATGAATCCAAGTTTTTTTTTTTTTTCAGGTTTCTATATGTAAATAAAGTTAAAATTACACATTTCATTTAAAGGAGATACATGATGTCATTACCGTTGAGACAGTCACTTTAATGGCAATAATTACAGATCTGAGTCACAAAAATAGCAGTTAGTCTAGATAATTACATAGCAGCAGGAACAATCATAAAACATCTTTTAACATCTGAATCCTTGCAAAGCAACAATCTTATTTCATAAATATTCATGTAGATAAATAAACTCATCTGATGGGTATACACTGTAGATGAAAACATTTTCATATATAGCAAAATCTAGTTGTACTTGGCTTATCATTTTAAAACGACACAATTTCACCATGTAATTAAATAAGAAATGTATGCTTTTTTTCTCACCTGAATTGAATCCTTACTATCTAAATACTGCCGTATAGAACACCAAGCATCTACAGTAACGCCTTTTATATTACGTACCTTTTGTACATTTAACAGTTCAATTAACAGTTTTGAGCTGTTTTACTAATTTTGAGGAAAGTCAGACAAACTATACAAGCTCTAAGCTGTTGCTCTTCAAATGGCAGCTGGATGTCGCATTGTAGCTTATGAAGTCGCCTCCAGCATTTCTTTGTGCAAGACATGATGAATGTGCCTTGTTGTTTAAAGGAATAGTTCGACATTTTGGAAAATATGCCTCAGGCAGAGAGTGAGATGGAAAGATTAATACTACCCTCATGTTTCGTCCCTTGAATTTAAGGCTACGGTGAGCAGCTGGTTAACTTGGCTTAACAAAAAGACTGAAAACGGGGTAACAGCTAGCCTGGTTCTTTCCGAAGGTAAAAAAAAAAAATCCTCCTTCCAGCAACTCTAAACCTCACTGATTAACATGTTACCTGTTGTTTGTTTAATACAAATAAATTGTAAAATTGGCAAATTACTATTTTTAAAAAAAACAAAAACCTTTTTAACAAAGAAATAGTCTGGCATATCAACATGTGAATTGTCATTTTTACACTTAGATTTTTGTACAAACTAAACAAACAAGATCATTTCTTTTAATTAATGAGCTTTACAGGTATTTGTCAGCAGATTTTGTTACTGTTGGACAGAACCAGATTAGCTGTCTTCTCAGTCTAAGATAACTACGTGTTGGCAATAGCTTCACATTCAAGGGAGAACTATGGGAGTAGTATGAATTTTCTCATCTGACTCTCCATCAGATAGCTAGAGGGCCTATTTCACAAAATTATGAACTTTTGCTTTAATGTGGCAGTGCACTATCACCACTTACATTCTGAGTAAAACAGTCTTTAATTGTGTCCCTCCCTCTATAAAACACAACATTTGCCAATAATGTGAAGTTTGAGAGACAAACTGAGAATATAAAGCTTCAACATGCACATTCAATTCACCAGCCTCTATTGAGACCTAACAGTCATGTTCAGTTTACCAAGGCATCCTGAATGTGACCAACGACAAGCAAACATTCAAAAACGGCGGTGCTGTTTGTGTTTTTTCTGCGTTTGAAAGCTCTATTCAGCACAAAAACGGTGACTTCTTGCTGCTAGTACCTCTGTCATATCTCATGAGTTCTGCTCAGCTTTGATTCTTCTGTCATTACTTGTTAATAAAGGTAGAAAATAACAGTCCTGGCCCTGGCCATCTCTTTAATGACAAGCTCCATTCTTCAGTGTGTTTGCCTGCAGGCTCGTGGTTCGGCTACAGCGGTCACCATGCCTCAGCAGACTGCGCTTCATCCTTTCATCTTAGACAGCACTGATCAATGTGAGATCAGAAGGCAAACCACTTCATCTGCTGTCTGCCTGTGTGAGTGTATCTCTTCCCCTTAGCATGTAATTGGCTATGCCCCCGAGGCTAAAAGTCTTCTAGTCTCTAGTAATCACTGTGTTCAAGTCTCCTCTCGGGAGATTGTGAAGTGAATGGAAACACTATTCTTTGACAAATCTTCCGCCTTTTTTGGGTTAAATGTAAACATACACATATCATACAAGTAGATAGTATAATTTTGAGTAATTGTGGGTATGGGCCATCTAACAAATGGCACATGTTAGTTTTAATAGTGATAGATCAGCCCAGAATACACAAACGGTGAAGAGCCTGTAACAATCATGAGGTGAAATGTGTGGAAGCAGGAAAAAAGGGGGGAGTGAGCTTCAAACACACAAGTCTGACATGGCTGTAACCAATAATGCAATACAGTGGACTTTTCATCAATATTACATTTCTCGACCTCCAACAAGAGTTTTTCACACTAGCTAAAAAGCAGCAGGTCACCAGTATTCATGAAAACATCAAATATGGTTTCTTACAGCAAACTATCATGACTTACATATACATTTCTGTAGTATCGAGCAAGAATCAATTGTAGGGTGTGATAAAGAAATATAAAACTGCAAAAAGTACTAAATAGCTTTGTGAATTTTAAATATCTATCCATTGTGTATGTGTAAAAATGCTCTCAGAACATTAATTTAAGGTTAAAGCTGCAAAGATTTAACAGTCTTAAAGTCTTTAGGTAATTTGTTTCATATAACAGTGAATAACCAAACTCTCAGTGTGACTAATTCTGTTGTAGCTTTACTTCAGCAAAGCCTCAATTTTCATTTATTTCATACTCATGCTTCAGTCAGAGTTAGATTGGTTCACTATTAAGTGGCACAATATCTTGAAACCAACACATCAGAGGAAAGACACCAAGGCAACTCAGTGTCAAATGGTAATGGATAAATCACAAAGATCTGAACAAGAGGATTTTTAGGATCAATTCAAGAAAGGTTGGTAAAGCATTTAAAGTCAGCCATAAGATTAAACCTTTTGACAAGGTCTTATGTTTTCTACAGAGCCTCTTCATTCATGTACCCACTCATCATCTGTTGTGGGACACAGCAAAATGAGAACAAGTGACCTACTCATCCAGAGACAACACTTCAAACTTGAGAAAATACTCAAGCAAGTTTCTTTTTTTATACAGTATACAATATACTTCACGTTTTGAAACTAGGGTGTAGTCCAGGACATCATCCATTTTATAAACATCTAAAGTATATCCAAATATCTGTTCCCCAAATAAACCGGAACAAGTCTTAAGCAGAATGTCTCTGTGAGTTCAAAAAGTAAAACTTGTTCTTTTGATTTGAGATGCCCATGTCAAGTAATAATTATCTCATGAGTAAAACTTTCTACCAGACACGACATTTCAGCTCAGGGTTCATTGGACTGCCTTTTTGGCATTGGAAAGCTTCTGAGAATGCTTCAAAATTTTGGAGAGATCCGAGCACTCTGAAAACAAAAGAAAAACACAAGATTAAGGGGGATAAAGGCTGAAATATGTTATGAAAGTTAGGAGTACTGTTAAGTATGCACCCAGCCAGTCCTCATATTTCAATCAGCAAACGGAGCTGCATTGATTCCAGTGCTATAATGAGTTGTGCTTTGGCACAACAGAATACAGGAGTAATTGGCTTATATTTACAGTGTGGTGAATCTTTAAATTTTACGAGGAAAAGAGCCAGAGGGGTCCCGCTGCCTGTCTGCTGTTTCATGCTGTTCAGGTGGTGTACAGTGGGTTTTTCCACTGAACACGGCTGTTTGCTGTGCTGGGAAGTTACACTATGAGAGCGATGAGAATGAACCGAAACGGAAAAGGTGTGCCAATAAACCAAAACAATGACTTCTAAAGATGGTAAAAGATCCTGTAGAGCTCAGGTGACCTGCAGAGTCAGGTGGTAATTCAATGTGGTTTCATCACCACAAGCGACCACTTTCAAATTTGAGTAGTGAGTGATCCACTATTAATATAAAAATATCAATTATACACTTTAAAAGTTTTATTTAATACATAGGGTAAGTTAAATTTAATAAAACAAGGTGTATTTTGTATGCTGTATTTTTTATCCATCAATGACTAGAGTTTTTCTAAAATATATTCAGTCAGGAACTCCAAAAAATACATCAACAATATGGATCCCATTTTGAAACTGACATAATACAGTGATGTCTCACTTAGCACTACCTGCTCTAGTTATTTTACAATAGATTCTTCTATTTCCAAATAACGCAGTTGTACTTCATCAGTTAGATCAGTCTGAATACTAAATTCTCACTGGTTTTGAAAAGTTATCGGTGCACCTCTGATGATAGCAACAGATCATACTGAAGCTCCTTACCTGTATTCTAAGGGACTGTGTGAGTCAGTCTTGATGGACTGGCTGGCATACTCAGGCCGATAAGCACCACACCACACCTGGAAAAATAAAAGATTACAGAAAAGGACAGAGAGAAGAAGAGAGTATTTATATTTTTTAAATGTTTTAAAAAGTGTCTTTGCAGACTGTTATTATTAGAAATACAATTTATAAATCACAAAATTAATATTTCACCTGAAATATAACTTCTGCTTATACTATAAATTATAGCACAAGCTATATAGCTTTTATGTGCAAGTTTGGTCCAAGTTGTTTTACTCATGTACTGACTTGTAACGTTGACCATCTCAGTGTAGAGCAGGTTCAGTTTTTAGGCCTTCACAGCAAACATTCACTTGGGCTTGAGGATGGTCAAAGGTCAAGGTCACTGTGACCTCGCAAAACATGGTTTTAACCTTGTGAAGGCAATATCTCAGTAATGCTGTGAGGGACTACGTTCAAATTTGGCACAAAGACTCACTTAGACTTAAGGATGAACTGATTAGATTTCTGTGGTCAAAGGTCACTGTGACCTCACGTCTTGAATGTATATCTCAAAACCACCTTTAGTTCATTTCTTCAGAGTTGGCACAAACTTGGACTCAAAGATGAACTGATTAGATTTTGGTGGGAAAAGGTGAAAGGTCAACATCATGATGACCTCATGTTCTTGAATGCGATATATCAAGAATGCCAAGAGGGAATTTCATTACATCTGGCATGATCATTCACTTGGACTCAAGGATGAGCTGTGACCTCACAAACACGTTTTTGGCCATAACTAACAAATTCATACGCTAATTATGACACCATTAAATACAAATATCTTATGGGATAAAATGTTGAAGTGTTGATATTTTATATCTAAATGGTCAAAGGTCAACTTCACTGTGACATCATAATGTTCCCTAAAAACACTTATAACCGTTATTCAATGCAGTAACTCAGGAGGGGGAGACTGTGATCATATTTCCTCCAACTTTGCGAGTTGGCGCAGTCATACAACCATGAGGACATAATTCTAGTCTGCTTATGCTTTACATTCCCTGGCACCCCAAGCCTGTTTACTTTGGTAGGTCTTCTCATCTCCTATGTGTATAGCTGAACACTGATTTATTCTGGGATTGCTCCAGTGTACCACCCCTTGACCCTCTCCCTTTGTCCCAGTGTTGAATTCTCAGCACCAAACATCTACTGAAAAATGCTTCTCCTGAACTTTGGCTCTCAACTCCAGGTGGGGAAAATATTATCTGCCCTACCCTGTCTGCTGAAATAACACATCCAGAAACAACATGTTCCCATAGTATTCTCATTTACTTGGGCAAAGTTAAGAAAGAACAGTTGCTTGTGATCCATGTCTAGACCAGGTAGATACGGCTCTTCACCCTTCATCTCCACCCACTTCAGATAAGCCTGTAAATGCACACAAACACACACACACACACACACACACACACACACACACACACACTTAAAAACAGAGTTCAGGTGTGCATAAACTTTATTATTAGCATTTTAGAGTTCGTCATTATTGCCTAAATAGTAACATGTAGTTTTGTGCTCTTGCTGCTAACATCCAACCTTATACGCTTGACGAACCCCTCCGTTGTCTGCGATGTTCTCCCCCAAAGTGCTTATTCCACTGACCTGCAACCGCACACAACAGCATGAAAACACTCACACTGTGTGATCACTAAATACATGGCTTACATAGTCAGGGATTACTGCAGAGACAAAACCTCTCATTTCATACATGCCACTGGGTGCTTACGTTTTGTCCACCTGCTAGTTTCCAGTTGAAGTTGCCATATTGTTGCACCATGCACTGTGACTGCTCTTTAAAATGCTCAGCAGAGTAATTACTCCACCAGTTTAGCATATTACCATCCTTGTCAAAATTACGACCTGTAAAGAAACATAATGCATTAAGTAAAGAACTGTTTGCCAAACATGGCACATGTGTATTTGAGAGGCAAATTTGAAATCAGTTGTTATGATAAGGTGACCACAACTGATAAGCTGTATTTATCTGTTTGGGTTTCCCAAAATATCCACAGTGAATCACCATTGTCATCAAATCCATGTGTGATCTCATGGCCAATAACCATTCCTATTCCTCCAAAGTTAAGGGCCTGATGCTGATGTTTACTGAAGAAAGGCGGTTGCAGGATTCCTGCAGGAAACACTGCACAGACATAAACAACAGGAGTTAAAACACAACACATACTGGCAAAGGCACTAAACAGGATTACAATGAAGAGAGACTGTTACAATGTAAAAACAATCTCTAATTTGACACGCAGGCCCCCGGTGGCCTCATTGCCTCATGTAAACCTCCTACCTATCTGGTTTCTGTTGGGTGAGTAGAATGCATTCACCACAGCAGCACCAATGATCCACCTGAGGAGTGATTGAGAAATGGATTAAAACTGAAAACTGCATTTGTAGCTGGAGGAAGCACCTGTTCACTTCATGCATGGAGCATATTTTGTACCATGAAACAATATATTCAAACCCTCCTCTTCAATTTTCTTTGAGAGTTACTTGATGAGGACACAGAACATCTTTTTCTTGTAACTATGAAAGCAGCAAATTACATCAGGATATTCGATGCATCATGTCCATTTTATAAAATCAGTTACATTTTGGCTAAGCTCAACCTTGTTTCTTTTCCTGGAAAAAGAAAGTGCAAATATGTAGGATTGTTTTTCAAACCATTTTTGTCTAATCAACCTCATTTAAAGAGGGACTTAGTAACTACAGATGTCATTTTTCTGCCTCGCACTTTAACTCAGAGCACTAAGACAACATGGTGACTGCCTGGACGGTTTGTACTGTCAGATGTATCAGCAGCTTACAAGTCTGGGTCAACTGGTTCTCTGAGCTTCTTCAGACTCTTGTGCGCTTCAGACTTGAGGTTCTCCAGAATGTTCTCAAAGTAGTGTTCTTCACTAAAGTTTAGCTGGAAAGAGAAACAGGATAAATCAGACATCAGTGCTAAGTGCATCTTTAAGTTATTCACAGTGTGGCCTGTAGAAATAGTCTCATTTTTTACTTACGTGAGCATATTCCTGGTCAAGTTTCTGGTTGCTTTCCTGTAGAATATGATCTGGATAACCAATATGCTCCTTGATTGCCATGGCCTACAAGAGATGCACAACAATCTGTATTACCATACCTAACATCTAGACAAGATACACCCTTATTTTCTCAGCTTGACTACAAACTGTACTGTACCTTCTCTCTCGCTTTCTCTTTCGAGGGAGCATCCATCCAGCTTAACTCCTCCAGTGTTTCCACATAGGCTTTCTGGATCTTACTGATAAGGTCACTGACCTGTGAACATATGATACAAATACAAAGACTGTAACCATAATTCCAATACAGAGATGCATTTTCATAATTAGAAGCCCCCAGGTAACCAAAGCTGCATTTTGTGTGTAAAAAATAATGTGATTTATTTTAAGAAATGCACTCTGAATGTACCAGCCACATACTCTAAATTTTATTAAAGCATAATATTTGTCAACAATTATACCTTCTTCTATGAAGACATATTTTATATTATCACAACTGTGTTTTACTATACTATCATTCGTTATCTGCTTATCCAGCAGCTTCCATCTATGGCTACCCACAGGTGGAGTTACAGTTCTTGACAGATATATTAATAAACACTTATATATGCTTACAACTACATGATCTTGCATTATAAACCATATTTTGAATGTCTGTATACTGCTTGTGACTGCCAAATAGGGGGATTTAATGTAAAGTGCTGCTAATGTATTTATAATGAATCTGGAATAGTTATAATTGCAGCGTTATTACCACTATATGTGTAACATTTCGATGTGCCATGAAATGCATTTAGGACTAGATAGGTTTGTGTTATAAAACAGAAAAGATATTTTGTCTTACAAAAGTGGTGTCAAAAAAGTGTTGAAATTTAGAGGAAATAGAGGAGCTAATGACTCAAAATTTATGTTCTTGATTCAGTGGCACATAATGTAATGTGAAGCTTGAAAAGTGACACTTGGCCCCTCAAAATCAATTTGTCGCACATAATGTATGTCATACCATGAATTTCTTTGTATAATAGCTTGCACACCAGAGTTTGACGTAAACTTCTGCCGTGGTAGTCATTGATTTCTATGCTCTAAGGAAGATTTGTTTCTGATTTGTTCATAGAACAAAAAGACTCACCATTCGCTTACTTTCTCCAGCAAAGGTCTCACGCACATAAAGAGCTCCAACTGCGTTCTCCATGCTGCTCTGGACGTAACGGACACATTCCCGCCACCAAGCATCCTCCACAGTGGTCCCATAGAGAGTCTGTCCATACACACAGACACACACTGTAATATTGTTTTTTTTTGTTTGTTTGTTTTTACCTTGTTAGGCTAATCTGTGTTGCTCTGTTATGCCATGCACATCGCACCTTCCTGTAACGGGCTCTGGCATCTTTGAAGCGACGGCTCAAGCTATTAACTCTGTCAATGATGAGCTGCCAGGTGAGGTAGTTCTGCATAGTTCTGCAAACATAGATTGTTTTTGTTTTTCTCGTGCTAGATTGAAGCGGTTCTGTAGTAACTTAATCATCATGGACTCGTGTTTGCATATCGCTCTTGGGCTGACCTGACACTGTGTCTGGAGAGAACGTCATTCATCTTTTCAAGGTAGGGAGAGCTGTACACCACCACCTCTTCCTCTAGCTGGACCTCAATGGACACGCTCGACAGAACTCCTTGAATAAATCGTGTCCAGTTGAAACCCTGGCAAACAAAAGGCAAGACATTGTTTTTTAACATGTGTAGCTTTACTAGATACATACCATGTCTACTCCCTGAAAAATGCCGATTGTTTGCCTATATGATTCATATATCGAATACCATGTGGACTATGAAAAGACCAGCAACAACAATGAAAATAAACAAAGTACTTACCTGCTCTGTCCCTGACAAAAATCTAATATCTCTGTATGTCATACATTTTAGAAATTTGTCAGTAAACCAAAACAAACACTTATGCTGTACACAGCCACACATTAAGCTTCCAGGTACAGCAAGTCTTCTAAGTGACGCCTTCAATTACCATGTACAAGCAATCATGTAGTGAGTAAACATTAACATACAAGGTGTCATTATGTACAAAAAAATGGACATGACCAAGGCACAAAGTACATCACCTCACACTGTGACATTTCCTCTGCAGAGTCCTTTATTTTCTACACCAGGACGCTTTGGAGTGTATTATCACACACATACGGCCACAGGCAGTAAGAAACACAGTCACACCTTCATCCACTGTTAAATTTGGTTTTCAGTCACTTTAACTCAGTTAGTTTCACCTGTGAGAGTTAACAAGAGTGTTGCACCCAGCAGAGCTACTGTTGCTATGGTTACGAGGAGTCTAATATACTGTATCTTGATTATTGCTACCTGAAACTACAGTGTGTTTTAGGTTCCTCTTGTACAGCTTTAAAGGACTCGTCCAACATTTTGGGGAAATACACTTCATTTGCTTTCTTGCCAAGAGCTATGTGAGAAGATTGGTGCTAAATATGAAACTAGAATCAGCAGCAGTTTAGCTTAGCTTAGCATAAAGACTGTAAACGGAGGGACACATCTAGCCTGGCTCTGTCAAAGGTAAAATCTACCAGCACCTCCAAAGCTCTGGTAAAGAAGCAATGGGAACAGTCTGATCATGTTTCACTATAGAATACAGGCCTACATTGATATTTTAATTCACTTTATTTAGTAGCCTAGAGGTGCGGATTGTTTTAATTGATATATCGTATGACATTAATATCAACATAAGATTTTTTTCTTTACCCTGCAGCCCCCTTTTAAAAATGTAACAATCCAAACAAAATATCCCTGACAGTGTGCCTGACTTACTTAATTGCCCTCTGTAGTTCCCCACTATGTGGCCTTGCTGAAAGGCACCTCAACAGTAGGCCTACTTGTTTTGTAAGTGGAAACATCCTCATTCACTCATTCAGTTTTTACACCAAAACTGTCAAAGATACAGTAGTTATGTGATTTGAACCAGTGAACTGTCTGCACTCTGAATATGAAATGCACAAGAAGTGAAGAAGTAAATCACACTTACATTAAAGCTGAATGTGCTCTGTAGTTCACCAAGTGTCATCTTGTTGTAGAGAACAGTGACATCTTGGCGCTCCTCTGCTGGTGATGTGGCCTATCCAGCAACAGGAAGGAAAAAAAACCCTATATAAACTGATGCTTTATTATATATTCACATTTTGTTCTTCTTTCATCAGCAGAGTCTAATTTGTCATGCTGTTGACAGGCCCCCAAAAAACAACAAAAAAACAGGTGAAGGCTTGGCTGATCTCCTAGGTCTACACTTAATGTAGCCTGGTTCTTTCATTCACTCGGAGCAGAGAGGAGGTGCTCATTTTTCATCTTGTCATTATTCATTTTCCTTAACCCTTGTCCCACAATTCCATTTCCTGTTGTGGCTGGCACTCACATTGGCAATGTCTGTCTCCAGCTCCAGCACTTGCATCATTTCCTCCCACACACGGTCGTCATCCTGAGTCAAGTTCCTGTCCTCTCGGGTTATCTTTGCAATGGAAACCATGAAATGTAGGTAGGCCTCTCGAACCTATGGTACAATAAACATAAATTTTGTTTCCAGTGCAAAATCAAGGTTGTGTCAGGAAATACATTTTTAACTGCCAATTCAGCCAGATCATGTTTTTCAGTTATAGCTATTCATATCTAGCCATGCAGGCAGTGCCAGTTAGATATGAGTTTGATTGTTGTTGTAGTTTTGTTGCTGCCAACCCAAGGTGAATGGAATTATGGTTATGCTTAAAAACTCAACAGCAGTACTTCTTTACATAGTCCTCACTATGTAACATCAAAACTATTGATCCGGTGGGAAGATCCAATGAAACTGTACCAAGGACAGCGGGTTTGAAAAGAAAAATCGTTGCTAAATTCCAGTAACAAAAGTCCATTCACCTCCATTGTACTGAGATGAAAACAGAAATCTTGTAGAAGGATATCTCGAAATCTCAACAAATAAAACCAAAGCTATTTGTATGATTAGATCATTAGGCATCACCTTTTTGTAGTTTCCATCATTGAAGTAATAGTCTCTTGATGGCATCCCAAGTCCTGGCTGGTCAATCTAATCAATACACAAGAATAGCAATTATGCATTTTTATACATTTATAATCTTTTCATAATATTTAAGTTTTGTGTATTTTAACAGTATCATTAAAAGATAAGGCAGGCAATGCTCTATACTTTTATTATATGGTCAAAATCTCATGAAAACACCAAAATCAACTGAATTCCAAAGCCTGATATGGCTCATTCCTCTGTGCCATTTATTTCCATTGTTCTCCAAACACTATTAAAAACACATTATTGAAACAAATGTTTCTTCATTCTGATGAACTTGGGCATTGTAGGTTATTTTGCATGTATCCCACGCACACTGTCCTGCTGCCATAAATATAAATTGTGACGTCTTCAGTAGAAACTAAGGTGCTTCGAGCTGAGTGCCACAGTCAGGGAGGGTTAGGGTTAGAAAGTAATGAGAGATACACCACCACAAAAATATAAAATAATGCCAACCTTATCTAGGCTATAATAACTGCATGACGGTTGTTACCTGTTATTTTTGCTATGATAAACAGTGATCTTACATAAATGATATGACGCCTGGAGTCCCGGTCATCTGTCCACACGTACATGTCCAGCAGAACCTTCTTGTGGAAACGAGCAGTAAGTGTGGCCAGTGTGTCCTCAAGGCTCCATGCTTCCTCTGCAACATTAGAAGAAAATGAGTACTTCTATTTAAATGCATTTGTCTAAACACTGTAAAGAACTAGTAAATGTAGCAGGTTGCACCTCTCTGCTGCTCATTTAACTGTGTACTCTGTACAGATATGCGTGGATAATTCAGTTTGAGCCACCATCCATGATTACATTTACTTAAAGTGGCAAGAGGCTGGAGCTTGGGGAAGAGCAGCGTAGACTATTTAAAGCATCCTTCACAGTCCTGATTGAGGACCTGCTCCTCTACCCACTCATCACGCTCCCAAGCTCCACACCTGACTGCTCAGCTGAAGAGCATCGGTCGGCCTCTTGATCCCACCAACAAAGCTCATACTCAGCAATTCACTGAGTGCAAATATAGCAACACAGGCCCTGTGTGAGCACATGTATTTGAGTAAGAAGTGAACACGAGTGCTTGTTTGTGTGGATGTGTTGCATACGCACGTTTGCCTGTTTGCACAGAAGAGACTGTAGACTTTAATCAGTGTGTGGTATAGAGGCATTTCTACCTGTAGTGGTGTTCCAGTCATCTGACGCCACAGGCCAGTCTCCGATACTCTCAATGAGCTTCAGGAGGGGTTGGGAGTCACGATGCTCTATGAGGCCTGCAGGTAAAATATCATGTTCTATAACATACAACAGCCACACTGCAGTCTGTCTACTATTCATCCTTATTGAGAGTGAAAGTTCACTCTCAACCTTTGAATCAGCTTTTCACGAAAACAATCTCACCATCTTAAATTTTAAAGCATGAAAAGGGTTGACACATTTTTATTTTGTTTAAATTGTCAATTATGAGCACAGGGGAAAAAATGTACAGACATTTCAGTTATACCTTCTTCAGTGTGCAATAGTCTTCAGTTTCATGGTTGAATCCTTTTTACTTTTCGCCAACAATGAATGTCAATCATCTTATTACGCGCCTCCAGAGGATGCCTCTGGTAACAGGTAGCCACCTGTACACCTGCTGGTTAATAAGCTGGATCCAACCATGATACTGAAGGACTACTGCACAATGCACACTGAAGCGAGCATAGCCAAAAAGCCTGTGCATTTTGTCCCTTTGCTCAGACTTGACAATTTAAACTGAAGGTAATGTCTAATTGATTTGGGTGTGTTAAACCTTTTGCGCTTTGGACTTTGGTTATACGCACCATAGTCATCTTCTAATCTCAAATCTCATTTCTATGACAACTGGGCAACTCCATCTCTGAACTGGTTTCCCATCATACTTTCACACTTTGCATGATCAATAATAGGTATTAAATAGCATTCTATGTAGTATTAAAAAGGTCTTTAAAAATCAGAAACACTAACTGTTTTTGTCAACATACTTTATAGAAAAATACTAATTTTTAGTCTGAGCAAAGAGATCCTTACTCTCATTCATGCAGGAGCTGTAAAGAACTTTGGCCTTTCTGATGGCATCCCTGTCCTGTTCGTTCTCCATCTCGAGAACACCTGCAACAACAAAACATGTGCAAACATTTCCGCGCTGAGTAAAACCCACGCACGTAGCTCTGAATACTGCAGCCCACTGACCACCACCAAAGATTAAACCCATGACCCCGGCATTGTACCACTGTGCCAGCTGACCTTTCAGGACAATCTCCAGCTTGTCCCTCAGAATGTCAAAGACGCTGTGGCGGGAGCTGGTCTCCGGGATGACATGGCGCTCCAGCCAGCCCCCGCAGGCGTACTGGTAGAAATTATCGCATGGCTTCACAGATGTGTCCATGTTCTGCAAGAGCCGAGCCGCTTTAAAGGTGTCACAGAGAAAACAGAGGAGAGAGAGAGACAGAGGGACGGGATGGTGAAGAGCCATGTGTTTTTTTTTTTTTTTTTTTTTTTTTTTTTTCAAGGGTGGGGGTTTGTTTTTTTTTTTTTTTTTTTGTTTTTTGCAAGGATGGGAGTTGACTTTGTTTGCCAAATGAAACAGCAGGGACGCAAAGAAAAAGCAGCTCCGCTCACCTGCAGTAACACAGTCCGCAGTTGTGCACACATTGTTGGGGTTGGAGCGAAACAGCTGGCCTGGAAAAGTCAGTATATGTCAGTATGTGAGACTCTTTGACAAACTACACCCCAACTGCCGCAAGGAGGATGTTGCTGTGTAAAGTATGGCGCTAAATCTACTCTAGCCTACATCTATAGTCTGTGTGTGACAGGCAATGTCTATGTCAGCAATGACTCTTTCACTTTTGTGTGGCTCTGCTGATCAGGCAGTAAAGGGAATTACAGTATTACAGTGACTATCAGAGGTGCAGGCTTGGATATGACACACGCCCAACCCACTTGTCCCACAGTTTATCCTGTGTTCAGTTTACAGGATTAAAAAAGTCTCACCTCCTCCTGTTGAGCTCCTTGACACACTCGGCCTGTTGGATTGTTCTGAGTTGGATGGAAGAAACAGAAACACAGTCAAGACGAGTTTACTGTAAATTATAACGATAATTACAATTGGTTGCATCAGGTGGTAACCTTTAAAGCAGGAGGAAATGCAATTAAGTTTTATATGCAGCATTATAATTGTGTTTGCAAGCGCACACAAAAGATTTAAAAGAACCTGGAGGAATAGATGCAGTTAAAGGTTAGGCCTCTGTGTGTGAGTGTGTGTGTGTGTGTGTGTGTGTGTGTGTGCATATGTAGTCAGAAAACAATTGGTATTATAAAGCAAAACTAATTTGCTAACTTTGGTGAGTAACATTAACCTTCAAACTATGTGAAAGGTTATCCGATGACATATGTGCATCAGTGTTGCACAAAACATATCATGGTCATTTCTGAAGACATTTTCTAGGGTCAAGATCACTTCCTGTGTCAAGGCCAGGTTGCAATCACTAAAAACAACACAGAGTAGGGAGACACTTCATTGCTGCTGTCATCTGTAATATCTGGATCTTTCCACAGTGAGTCATTACCTTTCACAACCGTTGTGTAGAGGACTACCAGCCCCGCCAAGGCACAGCTGACCAACAGCAGCAGCACGGACAGACCGATTTCTGCAACAGTCCAACGACGCTTTCCAGGTTTACTTGATTTCTCCATGATATCCATTTGGCTTTCGGATTTGCCCATATTCCTCCTGACTGCCGGCTCTGTGGGAAAGACACCGTTAGAGTGTGGGATGGTCCAGGCAGGAAGCTGTGTGTGTTTATGTGTGTGTGTGTGTGTGTGTGTGTGTGTGTGTGTGTGTGTGTGTGTGTGTGTGTGTGGGCTGTGCAGTGATCCATCGGTAAACTGTGCCAGCTGACCTGCAGTGAGTGAGCTTCAACTGCTGAACACCTACAACAACTTCACCGACAGGAGTTGTGAAACTGTTGGTCTCGTTGCACAAAAACAGTTTGTCACTCTTTATTTCCTTCACTCTTTTTAATCTCTCTAAGTAAATGTTTCAGCCCAGGTTTTTATAGTGTAATTTATAGTTGCATTACTATTTTTAAGCTCATGAAATCCATTAAAGTTGCTTTTGGGTTCTTCCTTCCTTTCCTTTCTCACCCTGAAAAATCAAGATAGCATCAATAAAGCTAAATAGCTAGTAGGCTGATTCATTTATTTATCATCAAAGTTATCTTAATATGAGAGGGATTCAATTTGAAAGGAATTGGGAGATTTAGTAGGAGAGTTTCATTGTCAAATGAAATTGTAATGTACCTTAAAAGTATATCATGAAACATTGATTCCCAACATGAGGGTTCAGGACCCAACAAAGGGTTACACTATGATTAAAGGAATAAGAAATAAATAGAATGAAACGTTGATATTGGATATTGGTTCTTTAAAAGAAGCCACCAAGTAAAAAGGCAATACATATGATTGATTGTCCATTTTAAAGGTAGTGTGGTAGCTGTTACACAATTTTGTTATCTAAATTAACAACATACTGTAAGTGACATTATATTCTTGGTTGTTAAACTGATTAGTTTGGTTCTACAAGTCTCAGCCCACCTGTTTTAACTAATAACCTGACCATGTTCAATACATTTTACTCAGTGTATGAGTTCATTTTAGACATTATTTCTCACTTTATCATTGAGCTCCATCTGTTGTTAATATAATCTGGGACAGAGAGTCGTTGTGTGGAGGGAATGTAACAGTAATGCTGGAAACAATTTGGCAAACAGTAAATTAACCATTAAACTTACTTTCACTGATCATTATTGTTTGACATAGTTGCCCCCCCACCTCTCTCCCATCACGAACACACACAGACACAAAAACAGACACACGCACACACGCACATGCACGCACAAACCAACCCTGTACAATAATTATGGACGTGTGAACACAATATTGCAAATGAGCATTTGTGCAGGGGACGAAACGGCAATCACCCGTGGCTTTCAGCCGCATTGCTTCAGTCTATTCACTCTGCAGCACCTGTTTCTCCATAACCAGCCACATTGCCCTATCATTAGGCCTGACAGAGATCGGGCTGTAAATCAGAGGTTCACACTGCTGTGCCCCATTAGCCCTTCCTGATGAATACTCATGGGCACATATCTGGCACTACAGTGATGAAGGGCAGGCAGGGGCTTGTTAGAGCTTCACTCTCATCCTCGGCATTAGACTGCACAGAAATGCTCTCTGAGGCAAAATCCTGGTTTATTGCAATAAAGACAGGCCTCACTTTATAGGAAACTGTGCCATAACGTGCAGATTACTGTGTCACTACAAGATTTGTTTCCTAGTGGGAAGAGTTATTTACATCTTTAAATGTCCTCAGATCGCTGTGCTGGCTTTATGTCTACCGCTCTCTGCTTGACAGAATCTAGTTTGTAAATATCTATAGTAATGTGCAAACTGTATTTATAACCAACTACAAACACCATAAATATTAAGTCGGTGGCTCATTTCCAGCACAATACAGCGTAACGGTAGACTTTGACAAAAAGGGTAAAAATAAAATCTTAATATGTTAATCCTTGGTGAAATGGCTTTATGCTAGGATTTTTCTAATCATAGTAATAATTCAGACTCACTGGCTTTCTAATAAATGGCATTAGATATGCACAAACTACAAAAACATTCTGTCAATCAATTATATTTGGTGTTTTAAACACATTTGTAGAACTATGACAGATTTAGAGAAAAATCAGTGTCTGTATCTGGTTTGATGTGAGCATAGTGCTCATACATTTCATAATAATGGCAGCCTAAGAAATGAAATAAATGTCATTTTGGTTTTATAAATGCGCTAACCTTACAGAACATCATGTTTTGTTTAGATGAAGGAGACCAACAATAATCACAAGCACTGTCCTGTACTGCTTTAGCTTTTGATTATTTAATTCTAGCTTCTTTTGAGAAATATCTTATTACACATCAGGTATTTTTTTATTTTTTATTCAAAACTTGAAATAGCATTTGACTGTGGGGAAAAAATAGTAAATGTACCGTCCATGTTACCCATTGCATGCACTGCTGCTCATTCAGTAAATATTATTTATATTACTTTCCTCCTTGCCAACACAAAATGGTAAAAAGTAATAATCTGAAAAGGATAATAATGACACAAAACCCAAAAAATCTACACCCTGGATAAGGACTACATCATGTAGAATGTGATCAATCTGAACAAATTATATGATTGTTCAAATTTGTTTAAACTGGATTTTCTGAAAACATGAAGAGCTACAGTATGAGACATTTGCTACTTGTAAATCAAAAGACCTTTTTTTTCCCCTGAGTAGAGTGTGCAGAGTGTCCTGCAGAGATTCACCAACCAGATGGGAAGGACAACCCCTGTGAGCCTGAGAGATAAAGCCCAGAATAAACAGGACTCGAAAGAGCTCACCGCTGTGAGTGCAGGGTAACGGTCGACCCCAAGTGTATCTGGGAGTGTATCTGCATTTTTATCAACTACAAAAACAAAAAAACCGGCAACAGAGTAAGAAGCTGCAGTGACAGAGGGGAAAATGTGCTTCTCTTCCTACTCTTCCTGGTCTAAACAACGCTCTAGCTTTGTGCAAACAGAATCAAAGTGAATCTTCAAACTTAACTAACTCACACCATTATCAACTTCATCAAGCCGTCACACTCAGTACATCACTCCTTGGTAGATGCAGGAACTGAGTACATCGTCAGTCAGATCTTGGAGAATGTCCTTATGGAGTGCATTCACTGTTTCATATCTGTCCTGAGACTGCTGACAATCTGTCACCACCTTCACTTGTCTGCAAATAGTACTGAACAGAAGACACTCAGCTCACGATGACGCATGATAACATGCTAATGTATGTACTGAAGTGTATTTGAATGCTGAAAATAAGGGCACAAACTACATCGTCAGTGCCTGTGAATCTTTGAACTGAACTGAATGAAATGATTCGATTCAGCAAAGTGACGTGACACTTCCGCTTCCACACCCAGTGTCGCTGAGTGAGTGAGTGACCAAGTAAGATCAGGAAATGATGCATTTCGCTGGTTCAAATCTTTCTCTCTTTTTTCACGTCAGTTCAAAGACTCAGAGACTGACAACGTAGTAGGTGATCACAGCGCGGCTCACAGCGCCATGATGTTACCAGGCGTCTTTTGTTCAGTTTAATACAAAACTAAGCCTCTATAAGCACTGTTTATAGGCTTCACTGCTCAGAAACCACCTGACGGCAACAGAGCTCTTGCATCATGATTGTTTCTGTGGCTCTTTCTTTCAGCAAGCTTTTAACAAGGAAGTATAATACTGTCTATTATGGCCGAGCTGGCATTTACATTTTCCATTATTTAAACGGGTTAAAATCTTGTTGAGATTAAAATCTCTCACAGTTAATACAAGCAACATAAACAGTCCGCTGTTAGACAAAAACAATAGCCAGTTGAGATACATGACCACATATGACTTAGTAAAACTAAAACTAATATAAAAACAAAGTACTATTTACAGATTCTTTAAAAGGGATTTAAATTCACAACATTAATCAGCTCTGACAATTTCAAGTCCTCCTATACATTGCTCCAGTAGAGAAGGGCAGTGTACTTTTTCTGCCCTACTCTACATCCTGATGTGGGGAACCGACATCTGCAGAACACTGTGAGAACACGGGCCGTATTGGGTTTCATTTCTACACAGGTAGGCAGGCGCTCTGAGCCCTCTGAGTGAGAGGAGCATCAACGCAAAAAGCTACGGTGACACAAATGGTTCAGTTTTACTCAGTTCAGCTTGAGGATTTAATGTTAAAGACTTGTTCGTTTTCCAGTGAGTGACAGTATTCAGAGTATGTCCGCAGCACTTTTGACAGGAACAAAAACCAGTATGTAAGCATATGATATGATGCAGGAAACATAGTGGTGTAGTTGAACAGGTAAGGGGTTCAGTCTGTTAAAAAAAAAAAAAAAATCCTTTCTCTGAAAGTGAGACTAATCTGTAGTAAATGTTTTGAGATCCCTTTTGTTTTAAGCGCATTAAGATTACATGCAACTGTGTCCAGCGACTGGTACTGTTCTTGTCTAAACTTGGTGTTCCAAACAAAACGAGGATTAACTCTCAGGTCAAGCTGTGCCAACAATCGGCACACTTTCTCCAGGTCAGTGTTATTCACAACTGACCGCATGCCCTCACTTTTATAATAATGACATCCTCCACATGCAGAAATGTCCAAACAGCTTCAAATCTTGGAGAATGTCCTTGTGGAGTGCATTCAGTGTTTCAAATCTGTCCCAAGACTGCTGACTGTCTGTCACCAGTGTCCCACCTCTGAACCACCTTCACTTTGGGACTTGACTGCAAACAGAAATCTAATCTCAAGGATCCAGAGGCTTACCTTTTTTTGTGTGGATGGTTGAAGTCCCTGAGCCGTTTCCCCCACAGCGCGCTAATATCTCAAACACCCCTGCTGAGCATCCACTCAGAGCTGGTGTGTAGAGAAATGAGTCTGTGCTGCGGGTTGAAGGAGACGTTATCCAGTTCAGCGTGCCTGCTCAGGGAATGAGTGAGGCGGCACAGAGAGAGAAGGAGAGCAAAAGAGAGGGAGAGAGAGAGAGAGAGAGAGAGAGAGAAAGAGGGAGGGAGGGAGGGAGGGAGGCAGATGGGAGGTGATAGTACTGTATTGTTTCCGATTACATGACTGTGAGAAGAGAAT